CCTCAGCCTGGCCAAGTTTGAAGACCCCTGGAGTAGAGCGTCCTGTAGGTTGGGGCTGCAGGCCAGGGTCCTCGCCTTCGTTGTCTGACTCCCTGGAGGACCGGCGGTCTAGTTTTCTGTTACCACCAAGCGATCCAGTAGCCAAAAGGAAGCACTTGTGGGGAATAGCAGCTGCTGTGGAAGCTGTCAGGCTGAGCGGCAGGAAGTGGGCAGGAAGCCATGGCACAAGCTGCTTTAAAAAAAAAAAAACCCCTTTCTTTTTTCGATTGCTCTTTTCCCCTTCTTATTTTGCTCTAGCATCCACTGGGAAAGGTACAAGAGACGACTCGACTCTTCCTTCTTCGGTCCAACAGTTGATGCTTTCTAGATCAGGTGGAATATTAGTTAATGTTTCTACTTTTCTGGTGGTGAAGGAAGGGCTTGACGGGTCTCTGGCATTGTTACAGATTTAACTCTGAAAGTCAGGGCCTGTAAGCCCTTAGGCCAGACATGTCTAACTCGTGACGTCACGTGACATCGCGCGACGTATCGGAGCTTTTTCCCCATTGCCGGCAATGGGGTGGGCGCGGTTTCCTGGTGATGCGTCTGGCCCGCGGACCGGCAGTTTGACACCCCTGCCTTAGGCCAGTGTTTCTCAATCTTGGCGACTTGAAGACCTGTGGACTTCAATTCCCAGAATTCCACAGCCAGCATAATTCTGGGAGTTGAAGTCCACAGGTCTTCAAGTCTCCAAGGTTGAGAAACACTGCCTTAGACCAGCCTTTCTCCATCTCAGCAACTTTAAGATATGTGGACTTCAACTCCCAGAATTCCCTAGCCAGCAAACCAGCCTTGAGCATAAAGGGCAGATTCCTATTTTAAAGTTGCTGAGTTTGACAAACATGCCTAAGAGCTTGTTGCTGAGCTGGGCAAAGGTGCAGAATCCAAGGACGCTTGAAAAATCAAAAGGGAAAGCCAGTCTACACAGCAGAAGCAGCATTTGGTGACCTGTATCTAGCATCAGCTTTTGCACTGACAACAGTCTGCTTAATTTTGCATTTTATGGAAGGAACAAAGACATTTGTATAGCTTGAACACCTGGCTTCTCGGATTGCAAGAGATTCCTGCTCTGCTTTGGGGTGGCTTCAGAGGACTGTTCACAACTGCTCAACTGCATCTTCAAATAATAACAGCTGGGTGGTAAGCCTCTTTGCAGGTGTTTACTAACTATTCAACATTGCACTTTCTCAGTGCTGTTTGAAATACACAAGCACAATCTTGGCCAAGAGGAAGGTTGGTTGAGGTTCTTCATGATTCTAGATATCTTATAGCTGCTGGTCTGTTGGTGAAGGTTCCTTTGGTTTATGGCACACTAAACGTTTCATTCCTAAAAATGTTCCATCAGATTCCTTCCAGGTACTCCTCAAATTACAACAGTTCATTAATGACCGTTTGAAGTTACAACGGCACTGAAAAAAAGTTATTTATGACCATTTTTCACACTTACGACCGTTGCAGCATCCCCAGGGTCATGCGACCAAAATTTGAGCACTTGGCGGCTGACTCCTATTTACGACGGTTGCAGTGTCCCGGGGTCATGGGATCACCACCTGCGACCTGACAAGGAAAGTCAATGGGGAAGCCAAATTCATTTAACAACCGTGTTAACTAATTCAGCAACTGCAGTGATTCACTTCACTTGGCACAATCACTGTGCCAAGAAAGGTCGTAAAATAGAGCAAAACTTATTTAACTGTCTTGCATAGCAACAGAAAGTTTGGGCTCAGTTGTCGTAAGTTGAGGACTACCTGTATTTCATTCTGTGGCTACTCTAGGCATTTTTTTTTATTATTATGCCTTTTCTAGTCACACCAATCTCGACCCTTCAGGCCCATAAATTAGCTTGCCCCACCTCTCTGCCTTCACCTTGACCAGCATTCAGTGAGCTATGCTCAGCACCTTCCCAGCTGAGTTCCAGGTATTGCTAAGGGCAGGTTAGCTCCGACAAGCAAATGGGGGATGGCAGATTTGCTTAATGAGCATGTGATTCACTTAACAACTGCAGTGATTTGCTTAATAGTAAAAGGTTGTAAAATCAGGGGCAGTTCACTTAACAGCTGCCTTGCTTAGCAATGGAAGAACTACCTGTACAGGTAGTTTTGCCTCTTACAGACTTTTTTTGGCTGGTTCAATGCAGAAACGACTGTGGTTTACAGATGCATCTTCCTATTTGCAACAGATAATCTTCGCCTGACCATTAGCCTAAAACGGGGCTGTCCAACCGTGGCAACTTTAAGACTTTAACTTTAAGCCATGGCCGGCTGGGGAATTCTGGGAGTTGAAGTCCACAGGCCTTAAAAGTTGCCAAGGTTGGACAGCCCTGGCCTAAAGTTTCTCTCTTTGGAACCAAAATTACGAGGCAATAAAAACAAAAGTGTATCTTTGTGCACTCTGGGTCCATTGATACACAAGAGTTTTCTATTTCCTCTGAGATCAGCAACAGATTCACGTTGTTCTGGCTGTTTGCCAGTTTGGTAGCAAATTGTTCAAAACAGCTACACTGAATCCCTTCCTTTTCCTGAAGAACATAGAAGAAGAGGAAAAGAGTTACGGTGGGAGGCAACGTTTTAGGGGCTTCTCTTTTGTTCCCCAAGTGAGAGAGAGGACGGAAATTGGAACTATGGACCCCCACTTGCTGTGCTTGACTTTGATTTCATTATTTCATTTTTTTAATAAAAAAAAATGGGAGGCTGGCAGGCTGCACGGGAGAACACCAACTTCCAGTGTCCTGTCAGCTTTCTGCCATCCATCCAGGAGTGAGTATCTGTCCACTCTTTTTTTTTTTTAAATTAACTCTGGTGCTACTCAGACTGCTCATTCCTGGTTGCAACTAGAGCTAGTTGGCTTCCGTGAGTTGGTTCTTTGTTTAATTACAGCTGTCTTCCGGCTATCTTCATGTTCCCTGTATGTCTCTTTCCTTCATTTCCACACAGACACACAAAGTCCTCTTGGGGAAAAATCTTTGGGCCTCCAGGTTTTCAATGTGCTTAAATGTGTTTGCAAAAGAAAAGGGTGCCACCTCCATATGGAAGATAACCTGGCTTGCCCATTTTCCATATTGACAGGTGACTTACGGGCACAATTGAGTCCAACATTTTGGTTGCTAAGCGAGATCGTTGTTAAGTGAGTTTTGCCCCCATTTTACGACCTTGCTTGCCGTGCTTCTTAAGAGAATCACTGCAGTTCTTAAATTAGTAACACAGTAGCTGTGTGAATCTGAATTCCCTGTTGACTTTGCTGGTCAGAAGTTCGCAAAAGGGAATCACGTGACCCTGGGACATTGCAACGGTTATAAATATGAGTCAGTTGCCAAGGGTCTGAATTTTGATCACATGGGGGTGTTGCAATGGTTGTGTGAAAAAAAAGGGTCATATAAGACAGGGGTCTGCAACCTTGACAACTTTAAGATTTGTGGACTTCAGCTCCCAGAATTCCTCAGCCACCTATGGGAGCTGAAGTCCGCAAGTCTTAAAGTTGTCAAGGTCGCAGACCCCTGGTTTAGTCTGACAATAGCACTGTATGCTGAATTATTAGGAGACACACTTATCTTTAAAAGACAAGGTACACCTTTCAGGACAAGGTTGAGCAATCTATAGTCCGAAGTTTCCTTCTTTGAATCAATCCCAATCTTGAACAGGCTCCAACATCTTACTACAGTACTAGAAATTCAGTGGCATGGTGCCTCGTTACAGCAGAGACATTTTATAACACTTATTTTTAAATTTTAATTTTTTAAGCTCCAATAGCGCATCCATTTTATTGGGGGAAAGTCAACCCCCATTTGACTTGAGCAGGGGATTGGACTAGAAGACCTCCCGGGTCCCTTCCAACTCTGATATTCTATATTCTATGTTCCCATCGGAAAGCAACACAAAACACCCCATAGCTGGCTGAGGAATTGTGGGAGCTGAAGTCCACAAGTCTTAAAAGTTGTCAAGGTTGCAGACTCCTGATATAAGAGCAGGGGTGGCCCCGGTGGTTAGGATGCAGTACTGCAGGCTAACTCACTGCTCACTCCAGGAGTTTGATTCTGAGCTGCTCAAGGTTGACTCAGCCTTCCATCCTTCCAAGTTTGATAAAAAGAGGACCCAGTTTGTCCGACTCTGTAAACCGCTTAGAGAGGGCTGGAAAGCACTGTGAAGCAGTATATAAGTCTAAGTGCTGTTGCTATTGCTATAAATCACTTTTTGCAGTGCTGTTAAAACTTCAGTCGCTGAACGAACTGTTGTAAGTATTTTATTTTATCTGTTTCTTTACTGCACCCCATGCAAACAGACTGAAGCTGCTTACCGTTATGGGAACAAAACAAAAAAAAGCACACAGCAAAACTGTAATAATGAAAAACATATTTGTGAAAAAGTTGGCAGGGGCAGGGAAACCAAAACTGAAACGGGCCCATTCAGCCAACATCCATGCAGGAAATACGTTTGTACATTCATTCCAGATGATATCACTCTAGGAATTTCATGTCTACATTAGAAAGCAAGGCGAATGGATATGCTGGCCCTCAACGCGCTTTCCCCATTGGGTGTCCCGATGGGGAAAGCATGGGAATTGTAGTTCAACACATCTGGAGATCATCATGCTGGAAAAGATTACTGCGGGAGTTTAGCATAGCAATACATTTATTATTATTTTCTTTTGGCAAAAAAAATCTGTGTTGAACCCCGTGGGGTGCTTCGAAATATATGTGCATGCCAGTTTTCTCTGCAGGTTTTAATGCTCTCAATAGCCCTTCGAATGGAGGATGCAAACAGATACTAAAACCCAGAAATGGGCATGTTTTGTGACATGGGAAAACCAGATTAGATACTGGAGACTAGGTAATGAAATGTTGAAACGCGTTGTGGATTGAAGAAAAATGGAAAGGACGTATGGCAGCTGTTTGTAGCCAAGTGTGTGGGCTCGTGGTTTCCCCACCAAGCTAACCGTGGCCTGTCTCTGTTTCTCTTTTCTCTTAGGCCAAGAGAAAACTGGATCTTGAAGGAACCGCTCAGCAGCGCATCCCAGAATTCCGAACACCGAAAGGCAAAGGAACTGCGCTCCCACATATCCCTAGTCCAAAAAGTAAGAGGCCTTGGATAAGGAAACACTGAACGAAAGGATGCTTTGGCAGAGTCTAGAGTTGCTGTCTTAAGTTTCTAGTCCTCATCGAGGATCAGCTTGAAATGGGGTAGGGGCAGATTCCAGTGAAAAGTGAGAAACCTGCTTCGGTATCAAGTTTTTTATTCAGCTTGACCTGCTTAGCTCAGTTTTTATTTTTATTTATTTCTTTTAAATCACAAAGTGTTTGGATTTTGCAAAATTGAATTTGGGTCAGTTGCCGGGACTGGAGATTTACTCTTCCGAGCTTTCGTGCTGGAGCTCATTTTCAGGGAATTTCCCTTAAGGTGGGCTCCAGCATGAGTCTGAAAGCTCGGAAGAGTAAATCTCTGGTTCCGGTGACTGACCTAAATTAGATTTTGCATCATTATCCTGGGACATGTATATTTGCCTTCATTCATGTTTGGATTTTACCCACAAGAACAGAAGTTTGTATAGAGCAAGGGCATTTTTCAGTGAAGGAAGCTGTTGTATCTTTTTCCTTCTGTCATACTTCTGGGAATAACATTACATCCTGAAGAAACATTACATGATACTGTTGGGAGCCTAGATCTAATCTTGGTTTCATAACAAGCATGGCTGCACTGAAACCCTATTGGCCACTAGAGGGCGACAGAACACCATCTTTTAGTCTAGGTGCTGAAAGGATTTCCTGTTGCAGAAACATCTTTTTAAATCTCTTCTACAAATTTTATTTTAAAAATTAAAAATAAACCAAAATTATTATTTTTGTTTATTTTCCTGCAATTTCCACCATCCCTGATCAAGATTATCATCCAGCCTGGGATGGGGGTTGTATTCCAGCGCATCTTGAAGGCGTTGGAATGAGGAAGGCGGTTTTAAAAAAGGCAACAAAAATTCAAGCAGAAACTTAAATTTGCAGGAACTTTAATGCATAACCACTCCCAGGAATGGTTAGATAACAGACAGATGGCCCACATCTGGATAGTGGGCAGGGAAAGAGGCTCTCCCTAGTTTCTTGGGCTGTAAAGGGTGGGGGGGAGGGAATTGCACTTTTAGATTTGCAAGATTGATGCTGACTTTCCAGGTAAATGAGATATTTCAGTATTCATGCAGCTTCTTCGTGCTGGGAGATTCTTATGAAGTTCAGCAACTGGAATGTGTAGACTATTTACCTGTGACAAAGTCACATTACCTGAGGTGCACCACGAGGAGACTAGTCTTCATTGCACCCCATCAAAGCAGATGAACTAATGCTTCCTTTATTGTAAAACTAAACTGACAGAATCTTGCAAGTCTAAAAAGTACAATTCATCCTACCCCACCACCCTGTCTCAATTACAGCCTGAGAAACTAGGGTCTCTCCTGAGCCTCTTGTCCCACCCACCAGCCAGGTGTGGGCTATGCTGTCTCTTATCAAATTGTTCCCTTGGCAGTGCCTTTTTGCCTGAGGTCTTTGCCATGTACCAGGGGTCTTCAAACTTGGCCCTTTTATGACTTGTGGACTTCAACTCCCAGAATTCCTCAGCCAGGCATGCTGGCTGAGGAATTCTGGGAGTTGAAGTCCACAAGTCATAAAAGGGCCAAGTTTGAAGACCCCTGCCATATACCATTAGAATGGTTCAGAAGCGGGGAATATCCCAAAGAATTTTAGTCTGATTATGTTGCATGGATTTTTGTGTGTGTGTGTGTGTTCTAGCCCCCAAATCTCCTGGAGAGAAGACCCGCTACGACACGTCTCTTGGCTTGCTGACCAAGAAGTTTATCCACTTGCTCAGTGAATCGGAAGACGGGGTTCTGGACTTGAACCGGGCTGCTGAGGTGCTGGAGGTGCAAAAAAGACGCATCTATGATATCACCAACGTCCTGGAAGGGATTCAGCTCATTCGCAAGAAATCCAAGAACAATATCCAGTGGATGTAAGTTGGTTGGAAAGACTTCAGGTGCAGATATCTGCAGAGAAGGGCCAGTCTAGATTGGGTTGGATATTATGAGCAAATGTGGAAGAGGAACATCGGTTTGCTGTAAGTCAGCCTTCCCCACCTACAAGATCTCCAGATGAGGAAGCTTCAGTTCCCCAAATTCTAGCATTGCCGTACGAAAAGATTGAGTTACAGACATCTGGAGAATAATCAGGCTTGGGAAAAACAGCTGGTTGTCCAGCCTGTGCTTGAAAGTGCATATCTGGCAGGTATTCGTTAACTAGATTGCTTCATCAGAGAGACCTACGACCATTAACTTAGTCACTGTTCGAAGTTCTGACACAGCTGAACAAATGGTGGATCTTTGGGGGGGTCTGGCTATCCCAGCATCCCCATATCCACCTGATCTGAGTGCTTGGCAACCAGTTTGCACATACGGTTGCAGCATCCTGTGTTCACATGATCAGTTTGCAACCTTCCCTACCAGCTTCCAACAAGCAGAATCAATTGGAACCTGCAGATAAGGTTTCTTTCACCCATGCACCCTCCCACAGCCCCTCTGCACTCGTGTTCTGCTGGCTACTTAGGCAGTCCCATCCACATTCCCCAAATCTTACTACACCTTCCTCATACCCCACAGACACCCCCCCCACACACACACACAATCTGCACTGGGTTTCTCATGTACCTTGGACCCTCCAATCTGGTCTCTCTCCTGCAACCTTCATGCCCTTATACATCCTCCCCGTGCATGCTGCATTCATGCACCCCTTCACCCCTTTGCACACTTCCCCAGTGCCTCCATCACTCCCTCCTTCCCACCTCACAGCAGCTACTTACCTGTTTGCAAGCCTGGGACTTTCAACTTCCTGCCAGCTTCCCCAGTGACTTGGGTGGCAGGAAGCTGGTGGGAAGTTGCCTCGTCTAATGACCGGCTATGGGATTCAGTTAACAACGACAACTGAGACTGAAGGAGGTGCCGCCACTAAGCATGGCAGTCACGCCTTACAATCCCCTCCCTTACCCACAGGAATTCCTGTGTCAACTGACATTGTCTTAAGTCTTACCAAGCTCCCTGCAACTTTACATGGATCTGCAGCTGAGCGCTTTTTATTCATTCATCCAGATTGAGTGGTTTTCTCCTTCTCTACTTCTCCTGGAGTAACTGATAAGGTCAATAATAAGACCTCATGAGGCTTGCAATCTAAAACGGGTGCCCAACCCCTGGTCCGTGGACCGGTACCGGGCCGCGGGATGCCAGCAACCAGTCTGCACAAACAAGCAAAGGCCCCTCCATGAGATGCAGGCAGCACACAAAACCACACACCCTCCAGTCCGCGGAAAAACCTCTCTCCATGGAACCTCTCTCCTGGTGCCCAAAAGGTTGGGGACCTCTGATCTGAAAGACAGGGCACGCAAGGAAAGAAAATGGGTTTGGAAGAAAAACATTGCAAACTGACGTTCCCGTGTTCCAAATTTCACCCTTTCTTGCAATCAGCCGGGCAAGAAATACAGGTTGTCCTCGAATTACAGCCACTACTGAGTCCAAAATTTCTGTTGCTAAGTGAGACAGTTGTTAAATGAATTTTGGCCCATTTTACAACCTGCCTTGCCACAGTTGTTAAGTGAATCAATCACTGCAGTAATTAGTAACCCGGTTGTTAAGTGAATCTGGCTTCCCCCCATTGACTTTGCTTGTCAGAAGGTCACAGAAGGGGATCACGTGACCCTGGGAGATTGCAACCGTCATAAATGTTGAGTCAGTTGCCAAGCATCTGAATTTTGATCGTGACCATGGGGATGCTGCAACTGTTGTTAAGTGTGAAAAATGATCGTAAGTCAGTTTTTGCACTGCCATTGTAACTCTGAACTGCTGTAAGTCGAGAACCACCTGCAGTGCATTAAAACCAATGCCAAAATGATGCATTTTTCTGCAGAACCAACAGATGAGTTTTGCTTTTTAAACTCCATCCCAAGGACTAGTTGGATACTGCTTTTCTTAAACGGAGAAGAAGGTTTACAGTTTTCCTTGCTGCCTCTAGGAGGCGGAGGGTATTTTCTCAGATTTTGCTTCTTAATACCCTCCGCTTTTCTTTATCAGGCAGAGCCACATTTCAAAACAGTTTCCTTAATGTCCACATTTCATCTCAATCTCCTTAAGTCTGTTTCTCCCTCTACTTTGGCTGAAACCCTTTGTGTTCGCTCATGTTTGGGATCAACGTCTCTGTGTCTCTTTTTTTCCTCTTCTTAAGAACCCTTTGAATCTCCCTCCTGCCAAGAGGTGAAAGCATTTTTTTCACATTGTACTTAACTTTGGATGAAAAGCCACACCATCTTACGTTTGTAAGACTGGCATCCTAAGTTGCAATGTATACCGATAGATTTTGTTTTTACTTTTTCTTCCTTTTTCTTTTCAATACTTTAAAGCTTTCTGAATAATAGAATATTCATAGTTTTTCATCCCAGCCCATAAATACGACCGCATTGAAATCTGCGTTGAAATAACACAATGTATCAGGATTTATAATTCTCCCCCCCCAAAAAAAAGGGGGGGGAAAGAGAGCTGAAAGTGAAAACTTGAGCCCTGATTTAGCAAATGGACTCATCTGATCTATTATTAATACGGTATCCAGGGGAACGGGCCTTTTTGAAGATTCTTCCGTGGCCACAAAACAACACGTCTTGCGACAAGAACTGGCCGAGCTTTCCAAGAACGAGAAGGTTTTGGACAAGCTGATCCAGGAGTCCTCTCTGCAGCTAAAGCATCTGACCGAAGATGAGCCCAACCAAAGATATCCTTTTGAGCGGCGGGTGGGTGAAGAGGACAATGATCAGAGACAGACTTCCAGGGGGATCGATTCATTCCTGGTACCCCCTGCGTTGAAGACCAGTGGCCAAAGGTTCAGAGTTCAAAAGGCTCCGTGCAGAGCAATTCTTGGGGTTCGCCCCATCAGCTAAGGCGAGGTGCACTGTTATCCTCTTTAAATATAAGCCATAAGGCCCAGGATTGCAGGCTGCAGCCAAGCGCTGACTATATCTCCCTGCGTCTGTTTTGTTTATAGCCCGCCTTTATTATTTTTATAAATAACTGAAGGTGTTGAGCAGACACAATACTCCTTCCTCCTATTTTCTCCACAACAACAACCCTGTGAGGTGGGTTGGGCTGAGAGAGACTGACTTGCTCAGGGTCACCCAGCCGACTTTCATGCCTAAAGTGGGACTAGAACTCCCAGTCTCCTGATGATTGGACCAAAACCCACCCAGCTTACTTTCATGCCAAGGTGGAATTAGAACTCACAATCTTCTGGTTTCTAGCTTGATGTGTTAACCACAAGACTAAATTTCCTTTATGATCCCCAAGATATCTCTAACAAGGATAGAACCAAAAGGTTTTGGCTTTATTTTGTTTTAATTTGGGGGTTGGGAAGGTTAAGGAGCAGAAGGATTCCTAATTACACTCATTTTACCCCTTCAGCCCCTCCCATCCCCCCCCCAATTTTTGAACTCCTTTCAACCTTTCCAGAAGTATTCTGAGGGTGTTCGGACCACGGTGAATGCTCTGCGTTCGAAACAACCCACTTCTAAATGTGAGATGTAAGTTCAAGCCCAAACAGGGCTGATTGAAACTCAAGAAATAGAACAAACTTGGAATACAGATAAGATTGGAGGAGCCGTTTCAAAATCTTTGATTCCTTCTTTGACCTAATCCTGGGGTGGGCCACTATGGCAATTTTAGGGCCTGTGGACTTCAACTCCCAGAATTCCTGAGTCAGTATAGCTAGCTCAGGAATTCTGGGAGTTGAAGTCTACAGGCCATATATGCTGGTTCAATACTCCTGGGAGTTGTAGTCCACAGGCTGTAAAGCTGCCATAGTTGCCCATCACAATTCAGAGTTTGGTGTCTCTTGCGGTGTTTTCTTTAACTTTCCTCTGTGTCCTACGTCAGCCTATGTCACCTATCAGGATATCCGAGCCATCAGCAATTTTAATGAGCAGACGGTGATTGTGGTGAGAGCGCCCCCTGAAACTCGTCTTGAGGTGCCTGATGTTTGTGAGGTGGGAATGGAAATTCATTATTCTTCATTTCGGTTGCTGCTAAATCTGTTAACTGTAGGAAGTCCTCGATTTACAACTGGCTGCTTAGTGACTGCACGAAGTTATGACAGATCCCCAAGGGGCACTTACAACCTGGTTCCAAAGTTCCAGCAACCACCACCAGGTCACGTGACCGCATTTTGCGTGCTCGGCCACCAGCCCACATTCACGGCTGTTTGCAGCAGGCCCCAGTAACGTGACTGCGTTTTACGAAGTTTTTGCCCAAAATCAGTATTTACTTCTGGGGGATTCTGGGGGGCAAAACTTGACCCGTAGAAAACAATTGCAAAAAAAGGTGGTAAGATCAATTTGGTTATGTGAGTGACCCACTTTGCAACCGTAATGCCATAAGTTGAGGACTACCTGTAATTGTTTGCTCCCAGACAGGCGCCCTTGGTTTGAGGGTACTGAGTCATACTCTTTCTTGATCTGTTCCTCCTCCCCCTCCTGCAGGAGAATGTCCAGCTCCACCTAAGGAGTACCAATGGCCCCATTGAAGTCTACCTGTGCCCAGAAGAAATTCTGGAAGAGAGTCCTGCCAAGGAGAGCTGTTTTCCTCTTTCAGCACACCAGGAGGTTACTAAACCCACAACGGCGAAAGGTAATGTTGGCAACTCTGAAGGGATGATCATCTTGGCCTTCTGGGAAAAACTCACTTCATTCGGAAAGATGTCCTCCGGGGTTACTTGCTGGACTGACTCTGTATTTTGAGGGCAAATCCCCTTCTAACAGGCTTCTGCCGTCAACAGCTGGGCCTGGGAGCTGTTCTTTGATCATTCTTTGATCCATCAGATGATTCAGACTGTTAGCTTCCTGAAGAGACTTGCGGTTCATTAATGGAACCAAGTGACCTTGGTGGCTCTCCTCCCTTGGTGATGGGCTGGAACACCCAAACGTTGAAGGGTGCTGCAGTGACACACTTCCTGCACTGTCAGATATACCTTCAGTGACCTCTGAAGCCCTTTAACACAGGGGTCTTGGCCCTTTGATGACTTGTGGACTTCAACTCCCAGAATTCTTCAGCCAAGCATGCCTGGCTGAGGAATTCTGGGAGTTGAAGTCCACAAGTCATAAAAGGGCCAAGTTTGAAGACCTCTGCTTTAACACAATGATTCTGTGATTAGGAGAAGATTCATTCAGCCCAATGTCTGTGCAGGAATTCCTCCCAGCCCACAGACTTTGTGTAGCCCACTAAGAGGCTGTAATTGGTCTTCTGCCCATCACCAATCATGGGAAATATCTAAAAATAAGTGCCCAGTCAAATTTATTTAGGGAGGGAAACCCATCATAGGGCACACTCACCAAAGTCTGTTTTGCCCTTGTCTTGCACCTGGCTATGGAAGCTCATATAAGACCAGGTTATCCTTAGGAAAAGGGTGGGGGCAGATTTAGTCCAAATGGTTGCTTCTCGCCTTGCCTGCTCTTTCCTTTTCTGGGCCCAAAAGGGGGAGGAAATAGGGGGCAGGGCAAGTGTGACTACCCGCTTTCTCATTATGTGGAGCCTGCTCACTCATTTGAAGAAGGTGGGCAAAACGGTGTCAACATTAAGGATGCTGGTGGATCCTGCTGGCTCCTGGAATTCAGCAGTTGGGCTCCATCTTGGGACTTCAACCTCACTTAGAAGAGTTCCAGTATTCACGGGTCTGCCTCAAAGAAGGGTGGGTCAACCTATTCTCCAAAGTACCTGAAGGCAGGACAAGAAGCATGGATGGAAACTAACCAAAGAGAGAAGCAACCTAGAACTAAGGAGAAATTTCTTGACAGTCAGAACAATTAATCAGTGGAACAACCTGCCTCCAGAAGTTGTGGGTGCTCCAACATTGGAAGTTTTTAGAAAGAGATTGGACAACCATTTGTCTGAAATGGTTTAGGGTTTCTTGCTTGAGCAGGGGGTTGGACTAGAAGACCTCCAAGGTCTTTTCCAACTATGTTATTCTGTTACTTGGTGCCCAGTGGTGCCAGCTCTTGGCCTTGCCCTCTCTATTGCGATGCTCATGTTGTATCTTGACTCTCTCTTGTTTCCCCAGTGGAATTGGTGAAGATGGAGCTGCCCAACTGCCTGATGGAGGGAGAGGATGGACTCCTGGAGCCCCCTCAGCACCTCCTGCAGCAGACAGAGGACCAGCTTCCTTCTGCAGCCTACGGCGACCCAGGCCCCTTTGTCAGTTTTTCCCCTTCCCTTGACCAAGAGGATTATCTATGGGGATTGGAGGAGGGTGAGGGTGTAAGTGACTTGTTTGATGCCTATGACTTGGGGGACTTGCTGAAAAATTGACCCCAGAGCTCCCCGGCTCTTCCTGCGGTGTTACCAATAACCTATCCTGCGTGTACACAGAGATCCAGATTCCGAAGCTTTGGGCTTTTTCTTAGCAGCGCCTCTTTGCATTTTGTCCAAAGGACATGGCTTGCAAGATTGCCTCTTTTAGTCGTTCTCCCTCAGTTTAGAAAATCCTTGCCCGTTCAAGGCTCTCCCAAAGGATTTTGAATGGGTCCCAGTGCAGTAAAGCACCCCATATACTGCTGTGGGGAAGCTTCGCCTTTCTTCCTCCTTCTAGCATTTTGTCTGTCTTTTTAGAAGGGATGAGGATCAGATTTTAGACTCTTTCTTTCATCAGGCCCAATGGGAAATTGCACGCACAATTGCCAATGCCTTGGAGAAACCAGGAAGTCTTAATTCAGTTGTATATTTTCTTGTTGGAGCCCACACGTCTCAGGGGGCATAAGGCCTCCATCGGGCACCCTTCACCCCCTGATAAGGACCCACAAATCTGTCCTTCCGAAGTGTGCATACCTGACTGCCCCAGGGATAGCATTCCAGAGACTACCCAAATCCATTAATTTCCTTCTGGACACACACACACACACACACACACACACACACACACACACACACACACACACTCCGACCCTAGCACCCAGACATAGTTAGATTATCCAAAAGTAAATCTCGTGGAATAGGAAGTGATTTGCAAGATTCCTGACCAGGAACAGGAAGTTGAAAGTGGCTGTCTTCTTGGTATGAGCTTCCCAATAAATATTACAGTCCATCCCTCTGGGGGAAAGTGAACAAGGAGCTAGGCCAGCTCCTCCTGGTGCCAGGGTTCTCCTCCATCTAAGCGTGCCTAGGTCAACCAGACACGTCTCTGAGGCTGCTCAGTGCAGAATGAACCTGGGGGGACTCCACATTTTACTACCCTAAAGCTGAACTTTGGAAAATCCCAGCATGCCCTGGTTTGAAACTGACTTCACAATGCCTTGCAAAAGGTTCTAATTCCACCTCGGAGGCAATGTGGTATCCTCCACATGTTTGAGGCTTTCTCATCAGCCCAGCTGGTGAGGGAGAGTGGGATTTGAAAAAGAAAGAAAAAGAAGATTTAACCACCTGGCTTGTCATAATCTTGGTTGCACCCCAAGCTCTGGATAAATAAAATAAGAGGGGGTTGATTTCTTTTCTGCTAAAAACTGAGGTCTAAGAAGACAGCTACATTCTTTCCCACGATGCAGGTTAAAAGGACATTTTTAAATTCATGCAAACACACTTTCCCCAGAAAGGTCTGGTCTTTTGACTTGGCTGTGTTCATCTCATAATTGGACTGTTCCTGATTACCCAACTTCATTCTTTGTTGGGTCCAAGTGTTCAACTCTTTGTTCCCTTGATACTCATACCACCTGATGTAGTGATTCTCCACTTCTCCAAGATTTGGACCTCTGGATCAGATGTTTTCAGTTGTCCCTTAAGCCTGACCATAGCCTTAATTCTGAAGTATGTGTTTCTCTATCAAAAAATGGTGACCCATCAGCCATGTTATATATTCTAACAAGTGTAATAATGCAGCCTCTGCCTCATAATATATAAAGCAGATGTGATCTTACAGGGGAACATTATAGTAGTGGAGTTGCACATTTTTTTCTGCAGTTTGAAAATTTGCATACTCTTACAAATCTTTTGCTTCTGAAGCTGACACTGGTGTCTTAGCAATACTTTATTTTTTTTTCACTGGTCGGAGCAGAGCTTCACTGTATCAGTGACACTGGATTTGACCGCAACTATCAAATAACCAAATTTGGTTGTCTACCAAAATACATTCATTATTCAAGATCTCTGGCAATACATGTTTCCCTGCCGTAAGGTCACATACCTGCAGCTCTAAATAAAATTGCAGTGCATTTCCTTTATCCAGAGCTAAGCAACATATTTGCTGCTGCTGGGTGGAAGGGGCTACTTAGTTCAAAATTAATTTATTTCTATGAAAGGTGAAACGGCTCTAGACCTGGGTTTTTAAAAGGAAGAGATGTTAACGGTTATGCATGCCTTCCTTAAATAGCATGATGGAAGGGAGAAAAAAATCAACAGGCAGAGAAGTCTTTTCCAGTAACTGTATAATCGTCATTTCTAGCTGCCTTAGGTTGACACAAGTCCATCTGTAGTAAATGCATCCTTTCTCAGGGAACTAGAATGTTACTTGGGTTGTTTCTGTTCTCATCAACATGTAGAGTAGAGGTGCCCAGCCTTGGTAACTTTAAGACCTGTGGACTTCAACTCCCAGAATTATGCTGGCTGGGGAATTCTGGGAGCTGATGTCCACAAGTCTTAAAGGGAGGGAGATCCCAGATGTTAAATATATAGAAGATGACCTGGATCCAGGGATCTTCCTGGGGCTTAAGGTCTGGAGCTTTACTGATCCTTAAGCCACCAATCTTGCACAGTTTGGACCCATCCTTGATTTTTTTGTTCTTCGCAACTCATGAGACTGAATTCCTTGAGCAAATTTAGCCTAGCTTTAAAGGGGCCCTTGGTTTGCCTTAACCACATCATCATGTAGAGTTATTGCCAAGTTGGGACCCTGTATCTAGGCTGTAATCTGTTCAGGAAGTCAGAAGATCTTAACCTAGTGCAGAGGACAGTTAGATTTCAGGATGAAATGTCAGCCTAGCCTCTTTTTTTGACATGCTTGTTTCTTCTACATGCAAAGATGTATAGTTGGGCTGCTCAAAATATTAATTCCTTTGCTGCGGTAGGAGAAAGATCTCGTCTCAATTGGAACGAAGGCTGTTGCAGTAGTGAATAACCAGAGGCATGAATGTGTGTTTGTGCATGCACGTGGGTGAATGTGAGAAAGAAACTCAAAGATTGCATTATCTGGAAAGTGGATGTCAGATTCTGTATAGTGTTTTTGGGCACCTATCTTACTGGGGGGGGGGGAAATCCTCAATCTATGCTTTTTCCTTAGCTGAGCTCTTAAAATCTGAATTACACCCTGTATTCCAAATTTTGCATTTGTGCAAAATGTAGTGATTTATCTTTATTTTGGTTGCAAGGAAGTGGGTTCATGTTCACGACGTCGGTGGTGGTCATTCACAGACAGCTTCTCTGCCTTATTTTTCAGAGCCCCAGTTTAAACCCAGTGTAGTTTTTCTGGCTACACCCGCTCTCAATTTCCTTGCTTGAGCAAGAAACGTGGGAGCAGAAGGCGCCAACGTTGGGCACATAGCGGAAAGGTGTCCCAGCTTTGCTCAAGGTGGCTAAAGCTATGCTGGTCAGGCCGAAGATCTCATTAGAATTGCACACAGTTTACCTCTTGACACAGATGCCTTGCACCAACCCAAGAGTGAGCCTTAGCACACTTCCATGTCTCGATGCTATTTTCTTCCTTGGTTCATAACCTGTCGCCCCAGATCTACGACAACTCGCTACAGCCAACTTGCTGCGGGACAACCCACCACGGGACAAGAGTTACACTAATATCAAAGAAATAGTGGAATAGAATAACTAAAGGATGCCAAAGAAGGGACAAAATGAAATGTGAACGACAAAAATTTAAATTATTTTAAATAATTAAATTGAACTGTCCTGTGGTGAGCTGTCCCACTCTGTGCCACCCCTGCTTAAAAAAAGAGAAGTAGTAGTTTGGAGATGGCAGCAATTTCAGCTAGTGGCTGGTCCCTGCTACAGTCATTTACTTAATTGTCTTAGTGTGTAACTCATCTTAGTTAAATCCTGGGCTCATATGCACAGTGTTGGAAGTGTGTGTGTGGGGGGGGGGGGAGGTGGTGCCGGTGTTCTCTTCTTTGAACAAAGGGCTATGTGTTTTTTACTATTTGATAAGCTTTTTGAAGACACACATCTTTGTGGATTTCTTCGTCAATGAAATTATTTGTATGTACAGCAAATGGATTTGAAGAGCTGTTGTTCCATAAAAGCAGAGGTTTGCAGAAGGCTGTTTTTGGGAGCTAGGCTTATAGAATAATTAGTTCATCATGTCACTGTTTTGTTAGCAGAGTTTTTTGATGCTACTTTCTCACACCAGGTTTTAATCCGGGTTGAGCTTGTACTTAATGAATTGCAGCTCAGCTCGAGTCTTAATTCTACACGCGCCTGCGCAGGAGAGATTTCTTGTGCAAGCCACCTTTAAAATTTTACCAATACATTTGACCCAGCGACACTGCTGGGTTTTGTCTTAAAATTGTAAAAGTTGTATATAATTGTTGCACTGTATTTATAACAGGAACCATCTTTGACGCTTGTTCGGCCACGTGTGGGTTTTATTTGCTTTGTTTGAACCAGAGTATTTAAAAATGTGTTCTAAGGCTTTTTTTGTGATGTTTGGCTTGGCCTTAGTGGATGGAGATGTGTATGACTTAAAAAAAATAACCTCAAGGCACTTGATGATGTGTTTTATTTTATTTTTTTGTGGGCAGCAATGACAACAACAAAAAAGAAGGAAATAAAACGTTTGAACCAAACTGGGACTCATTTTCAGCTCTTTATGTGTAGCTACTTTTTGCTTTGTTTATTTTAATTGCAGAAAGTCCCCTGCTTACAACCTTTCGCTTAGTGACTCTTCAAAGTTACACCCGCATTGAAAAAAATGACGACTGTTTTTCACACTTAACAACCGTTGCGGCATCCCCATTTGGTCGTGCGATCAAAATTTGCTCAGAATTCCATACAGCAACTTTGAGACTATTTTCAAAATGTTCTCTGGGACGGAGGGAAATGGAAAATGCTTTCCACCAAATAGGAGAACAATCGAGGGGGGCAGGGAAGTGTAGAAGTTGTCTTTGATCCAGCATTGATCAAATGTTTTTCAACTATCGTGGAAAAACCAAGAGCTTCAAATAGAAGACCTGTTTCCAGAGCTTTCTGGAAAGATGACCTGAAGCACTTAGTATCAACACATGGTAATAAGTTAGGGTTTATTTAATTATGGTTCATTGAATTAGTTGAGTTCGTGCAATACTTTATATTTATTTATCTATTTATTTCTCACCTTT